ACTTCAGCTCTTAGGCTTACTCTCGGAGAATCAAAATGCCATCAATCAGTGTTACAAATATTTTAAAAATTATGCCTGTATTTCAGCTGCCTTACACCAAAAGCTAGAAGTTGGGGCTCTCTCTTACTCCACGTATTGTAGACCGGCGCTTAAGCCTCGTGTCCACGATTCAAGAACTGTGTCCAGGTTCTAGTTCCAAGAAATGTGCAACCAATCAACCTGTATCTTTTATGGAAAAGCTGCAAGTTGGTTGGCTACGCATTTCTTGGGACTAGAACCTGGACACAGTTCTTGGATCGTGGACACGAGGCTTTACTTTAGACAGAGACAAACTTAAGATTAAAGTTAAACGACGTCTGACGAGATCGGAAGGAATTGTTACGAGCGATCAGCCTCTCGGCACGCTTCTGCGTGCACTCCGCTCGATCGGAGCCGACGATAAATCGCAAGAGACCCTCTCGTGCCTGTCGCAAATCCAATATACTCACGACAATCGGCAATCAATCACCTCGAACAATCGCTCGCAGACGATTTACAATAGATACATCAACAAGTTAACATCCCGCGCGGATTCGCGACTCATCGCCGACGTGCGTGTCGTCGCACGCTCGTTATCTAACCGCATTGCGTAATTGTATGATTAGGTGATTTTCTTTTTTCCCCGTTTTTTTCCTCCGCGTTTCTCCGTGACGCTCGCGAATTCAAGATCGTCGGCACGCAAAGGCGACCGGATGGGGAAAAGGGGGGGAAAGGAGAGGGGCGTGGAGCCAAGTTTTTCGCGCGCGCGACTCTTCGTCTTCCTTTTCTCGGGCAAGGAACGTCGCGGCGTCGCCGGACAAGGCGCCTTTTATTCCCCGGCGATTTTCACGATCACGTGACGCGCTTATTATCTTCACAACATGCGTAGTATGCATTTTTCTCTCTCTCTCTCTCTCTTTCTACGCGCTATATCTTTACGTACACTTCGACGCTCGCCACTGAATTACGTCTATTTCGATCGACCAGTTCGATCCTCTCGGGGCAGTTCGCCGCGCGCGTTCTCGGCCCGTCTGTCGAACGTCGCGTTAACGGCTTCGCTGCAGGCGTGTCGCCGGGGCACGTTATCGCCGCTCGCGTCATGCCGCGTAATGACTCGCCCCGGCGCACGCACCAACACTAATTGCCCCCCTCCCCGTAACTCACGGACGTGAGGACTCGTGTGAGTTCGCCTCGCGCACTTCGCTCCCGGCGCTCTCGGCAGTTCGCCGCCGCCGCGCGATGCGCCTCGCGTAATCTCCTCCGGCACTCCGTCCGCGTCACGTCGCTCGTCCCGTCACCGTGTCGCACGCCGAGCGAAGCATGAGCGTCAGGCGTCGTAAGGTGCGTAGAGATTCCGTCCGTTGGGACGCGCGCGAACGCGTCGCACGCACGCGCGCACGCACGCGCGCACGCGTGCACGCGTGCACGCGTTCGAATTTCGAACCGTGCCACCGCGCGTCCTTGACGCCTCCTCGCGCCTAGTCACGTGACCGGCCGCCGTCGACGCCGCGCGCGGCGGGCGCGCAATCGCGCCCGAGGGCGCGATGCACGCGGCACGTCGGCTCGTCGCGCAACGCCGTGCGAGGCTCCGCGGGACTTTTTCCACATGACAAGCGCCCGTCGCCCGGCGGATCGTACGGCTCGCCCTAGATGCGATACACGCTCGTGAGTGTAGAGAGACGACGCGTAGAGAGCGAGAGAAGGAGCGGGATCCACGCCGCGCCGACGCCCCCGTCGGTCGCGACACGTCCCGGCGAGGTTATGACGTCGTCCGTTTTCTCCCCCGCGCCGTTCGTTCCGCGACGACCTCGAGCGCGTTAACTCGATCGGCGGTTCGAGGCGACCTTGACGACGAGCTCCGTCGACGCTCGCGCCTCGTTTAACGAGGATGCTGCGATCGGTCTCGCGCCGTTCGACGCGCGAAGAGACGCTGGGTCGAGGGTGACTGATTGTAATGTCGGATACAGAAAATGTCTATTTATCCGTTGGCGTTTGCTATAATTGTACTTTTGTTATTCTAAGTTAGAGACTCGATTGTGCGAGCGCAATTGTCGATTGAGTTGATCGCCAAATTGAGAGCCGTCGGAGTTGTCCACGGAGTAAAGGCCATTCTACAATTGCGTGAACGTGGTTGTCATCGGTTGTACAGTGTTGTAAAACACAGTTTTAAACTAGCATCTCCGATTGTAAAGCCTGTTGTAAAAGATGGCTGAACTTGATCTTTCACGACTACAACGATGTAGGACGTAAAAGCTAATCAATCACTCGCTTCAATTACGACGTATCTCACTCTATTGTATATTACTTTGATGTACAACACTTACTACTGCTTCTACTCCTACAACCCTACAACTACGTTTACGCAATTGTAGAATGGCCTTAAGGCTGATGGCAGAGAACAATCCGTAAGCGCTTAAGACTGACGTAGTCGTAGACTTAAGGTAAGGCAGAGAAAAACGTAAGTCGTAAGGAACACGTGTTCCACGGCTTACGTTTTTCTCTGCCTTACCTTAAGTCTACGACTATGTCAGTCTTAAGCGCTTACGGATAGTTGTCTGCCATCAGCCTTACGTTGGTACCTTGTCGAGATGGGATTGTGTTTTGTCGATGCGCGAAGAAAGAAGAATCAGGGGGATGAATTCTGTATCGTGCACCGAGAGATACTCCGTAGCCAATGAAATATTCCGTACGGCATCTTTAGATAAATTCAAGACGGTCTTGGAACATAAGATCTGACTGTAATGAATACTGGTCTGTGTTGTAAGATGTAGAGTTGACCCTCGGGTGAAAATGCTAAAGGTGGAATGGCTTTGTCTCTTTCTAACTGTCCCCTTCGAAAGAGACAGAGCCGCTCACTATCGGCACGTGCACTGTACTGCAAGATACAGAATCGACCCCTGGGACAATGGATTGTGCATAATATGATTCGATTGCATTAGATTACATTCTACATAATCTAATCTAATGTAATCCGACCACGTTCTTGGATCGATCATGATCAGATTACACTAGATTGCATTCTACATAATCTAATCTAATGTAATACGATCGTGTTCTATCTAATATTTTAAACAGGGTGTTACTCTTGACGAGGAGCACGTTTCTGACTGTACAATCTATCGTTCCGATCTTTCTTCAACCAAAAATAATTCTATCTCAACAAGGATCACATTTCTCACTGCACAATCTGTTGCCTCGATCTTTCTTTCTTCGTGCATCAAGAAAAATAATTCTATCTCAACAAAGTACTCTGTTTAAAATGATGGAATATAATCAGATCACATGCGATTTCAATATG